TATGCTGATCGGCTCCAGGCAAAGATTAAGTACTCTATCTGATACACTCGAACTTTCCATTGATAATGTTCCGATTGAACAAGTTTCCTCTGTGAAATCCCTTGGAGTACATATCGATGAAAAGTTAACGTGGCATTCCCACATTGATAAACTGTGTAAAAAGATCGCTTCCATTGTTGGAGCCATAAAGCGAGTTAAGCTATTTGTGCCTCAATCCACCCTATTCAATATATAAAACTCACTAGCTCAATCTCACTTTGATTACTGTAGCCTAGTCTGGGGTAATTTTGGCAAAAAATTATCTAAAAAGCTACAAAAACTACAGAACCGTGCTGCACGTGTAATAACTTCATCAGATTATGACGTAGATGTCGATTCCATGTTTCACAAACTCAGCTGGAAAGACTTGAAATCTCAACGTCAAATTCAGAACGCGTTAATGGTTTTCAAGTCTTTAAACGGTCTTGTTCCGGAATATCCCACGTCCAAATTTATAAAGCGAAATGAATCAAGCTATTCTCTGAGGGACTTGGTTAACAAACTTGTTGTCCCTTTTCAAGAACTAACTACATGAAAAATAGTTACAGCGGCGCTACCCTTTGGAACAGCTTACCCTGTAACATTAGAGAGTCTGGTTCATTAAACATATTTAAACGCCTTCTCTCCCATAATTTTTAAACACGGCTTTCATAGAAATCAGGATTTTTCTTCAGTGGCATATTGTTGTAAGTTAATATAATGTTAGGATTAGGAGTTTTAGTCATTGTTAAGTAATTTTTTTCTACCTGATGTTTTTACCGTGTATAAATAATGATTAAAGATTAAAGATTAAAGATTTAAAGATTAAACTAGCTGTTATCTGTCGAAAATTATACTGAAATCCAACGGTTAACATGTGCCTGCAGATGGCGTAGTGCGCGCCCAAAGCAAGTGCGAAATACGCCAATGTTTTACTTACTGGGGAGGTGACAGGAAAAAATGTAACGGGCACCGTAAAACTTTTCAAAAAAGATAAATAACTTTAAAAAACACGTGGTTACCCCTACATTTTATGTTATCAAATGGAAGTGGCAAGCCTATTCAATACGTGATTAGTTTCTGGTTGTAAACAAAAGGTATTTAGATTGTATTTAAGCTGAACCAAAGGGAGGATGTCAGAGGCGCGAAAAGCGCTGTTGCAACGATTTTTTCAACATACCAAAGATGGTTTTTGTGTTACCATTTACCATGAAGTTTTAAGATCTTTATAAATGTGCTTGCTTTTCTGTATGTAAAGGCGAATTCTAAGAAAATCTGTGAAGAAATATCCTTTCCCTTTTTTTTATTTTTAGAAAAATGCTGATGTCAGCATTTTTGCTGAGATTCAAGGCTAATTATCTCGAAAAAATGAAGGGCTACCCCCATTTTTCTTGTGGATTCCATTAGCCCTTGCAAAGATCTACTTTTTCCGCATGGTCCTAACCTGGGGCAAAAACCTTTGTATTTAGTAGGCACCGTCCTAAATACAACGGCTCTTTTAGGAGCCCCTAAATCTGTAAAAGCAATGACTAACAGCTACCAGCATTCCCCTTAATTTGTTACCCATATCTTGAAATAAAGCGTTTCTTTACCCTTGCGTGAAACCGTTGCAACACCTCGACTTTCAAGTATAGTACAACTCAGTTACCAAGATTGGCTTAACAAAACAAAATCACCGCTAAGAGATTAGGTACAAAAGAGGAAAGGGTAACACTAACAGCCGGTTTCGCTACCTGTCAAGTTCGCTACCTTCTAGTTCGCTTCATGTTCGCAAGCCACAACTTCGGTTCGCTAGCTATTTAATTCGCGTTCGCCACTATCGATAAACTAAAACTTCGCGAAACAAAAATTTATAGGCCCAAGACTTAACGAGCACATAGATTATTCCTCGTTCTTTCATCCACTGCTGAGCCAAACTCGGTTAGCTGAGGTAGCGAACTCCTACGTAGCGAACACCACAGGTAGCGAAACCAGCGCAAACCGAGGAAAGAGTATCAAATTAATTTTTTAGCGGAAATACGAGAATTAAATTGTGCACTCAGCTTCTCACTGAAATCGCGAACGTTTATAATATTGAACTGAAAATGGGAGGCTTGAACGTGAATTCGGAGAATGATACTTTGAGGCAAATGGCGGGAAATTCCGTTCTTCAAATTAGATTCTTCCAGTCTAGTGTTCGAAGAGAAAGGCGATTCTTCATGGGCCGGTGGCAAACTGTGCAGAGTGAGAAAGAAATTTTTCGTCTCTAGCCTCTTGTTTCTGGACTTCAGTGGTAAATACCAGCAGATTTTTGCATTACCTGACTCACCTCTCGACTTTTGTTGTAGTTGTAAGGCCTGTGAAGCCTTCATATCCAAGGCAAAATGATGTAAACAGACAAAACGAAGACCGAGCACGTGGCGTTCAATTTTAAACCGCTCGAGACTTCAGAATAATTTGCAACCAGATGGTGAATACAATATGCAGACCGTAATCGTCATTGTTTAATAATCAACTTTTTTTTTTGGCTAATCTGACTTGTAGCTTAGGGAATTCCACTAGTACCCACGCCCATTGATTTGATCGCGCGTCATTAGCGTTAGGCCCTGGGCCTTAATCAACCCTCGCCATTTATGCCGCCATTTTTAACAACGTTGAAGGTGCGCGAAAATTCAGTGAGTGAGTTGCTATGTTGTCAGGCTGAAAAGTGAATTTTGTGGGACCAATGATCAAGGTGAGTTATGTTTCTCTTTTTGACTGCAGTGGACTTACAAAATTTAGTCAGAGCAGTGGTTTTATTAAGTGTTTACCTCAGTGTGCTTTTATGAAGCTTTACACCGGTGTTTATAAGTTTACATGTTTAAAGGAGAATAAATAGGTCCCCCATTAAGTGTCTGCAAAACTGTAGCCCTTCCCTTAGAAAATTGTAACAGAAAATAAATATCAACTGTTCTACTCATCAATATACATTTTATTTCCAAATGTGAATGCTTTCTTCTCTGTTATTACATAATTTATTAAATTCTTCACCCCCCTCTGAGAAACAACAGAGCTAAAGTTTTTAAATGTTTTACTTTCCACCTAAAATTGATCATTTTCCTATTGTTATGAATTTAGTAAATTAACCATAGATGCTGCTCATTATCAGTGCCTAAAACGTGTAGTTTTCGCATTTCTTGTAGCTATGATTATTAAATTATATGGATCACTTATATGGATGTGCTTTAACAAACATAGCGGCCTTTCAAACCTACTAGTCATGATTTACACAATTTGTAACATTTAACTGAACAGTAAACAATTATTGGCTCCGAGCATGAAATTGGCAGATCATCTCGATAAGCTCTTGTCTTCTTTTACCACTGCCCACTGACTGTCCAAGTTCGACTTCAAGAATGTCGCGCAGCCGAGGAACTTTCATTGACTTCTTTCGCTGTATTTTACTGGTGGCATCTGTGTTGATGTTTGTTGGCGATCATCTTGATCTGCGCTCTCAGTTAGTCGTGGAAATTTCCTCGCGCTCTCCTGCTTTCCTCCCTCATTCTATAATCTGGTGTCCCTCTTTGTATATTGGCGTGCTGTCCTTCTCCATGGCTCTAATTCCTCCTCCCTTTTTCCAACCATCAGCAGTGATTTGCAGGTATCCCACTTGTTTATTATTCGATGGAAGTATCTCCGGAAATCATCATTCTTTTTTTGTACACCTTATTTTAGGGACAACAGATTATTAGGAATGTGATGAAATAATCTTGACTAGCTTATCATGATATATATGATACTAATGTGAAGTTGAATTGTTTCACCCTGATCAACAGCCAGTTCCGTGAGGCTAGCTAGAAGCAATAATAATTATCGTTATTAAATTTTCTTTTTCTGTTTGATTCATTTTCTAATACTTACTGCTTTCACCCATAGAGACTTAAATCTTATTTGTCAAAGAGAATTTAAAAACCAAGTCATGTTGATAAACTGCCCTTATTGCTGTAGTAAATCTTACCTTGGCCGGTGAATATTTTCATAGTCTCATACTTCTGAAGCATCACAGGTACATGATAGATCATCAGATGGATGTATGGTGTTATTGGACATGTGTGGGCGTAACCATCCCCTGTCATGTTCAAAAGCTGCTTTCCCCACTCAATAGCCTGTTTAAAGATATTTGAAGATCTATCAGTATGTGATGCAAACAACACTGCATTGGCAATGCTTATGTAATCTACATAACCCAGTTATTCATCAGTTTTAGTGAGAAATCTTGATTTTCTTTTCCAACTGTACGTGTTATTCCAAATTTGTATGGTAAGTTTTCACCTAAATAACAGTCATTTTATCGTAAGTGATGAGTTTACCTTGGAATGAAATGAAAGGACTTGATCTTCTCCTGGTGTGCAGTCATTAATGACGTTGTACAACTGCCAGAAGTCCTGTATTGGAAACAATTTAAATTATGATCTCGGGACAAATGAATTTTTGTCTGATCATTTTCCAGGCTACGTGTCTAGCATGAGCCAATTTTCAGCATCAATATCATCATTGACATCAAAAACAGCTCCTCAAAATACCCATGCTAAAACGTCTCACCAATGTTGTGTACTTGTTAGCTGGTTAAAAAAAATTAGTTAAGCGTAGAGTCATTCCATTTGAACATACCTCCCATAACTTTTTGGTTTTTTCTGCTGTTTCTGGGCGTAAAATCTCTTGAAACTTTGCAGGCCTTCAAAAGTTTTTTCTTTTCGTTTCCCATTAAAGAGGTCCAATCCTTTTCTTTGCTGTCCTTTGTGTTCCATATCTGGAAAGATATTCCCATCAACCAGACAGCTTTGATGAGGTTGTCTGTGCGGGTGGTTTTGTGGGCTGATTTTGGTTTACCCATGTTCTCTTCTTGCCAAAGAGAATGAAAATAATCAGATTGAGCCAACCGACTGATTATTGATTGTAATCAGAAAAATCTTTATACTAGTGCATAAACATGCTTAACATACTTAACCGGCAATCTTCCTTCTGACATTGTTCTCCTGTATTTTCCGTATAGATTTACCCAGACGTCTCCAATGCATTGTACGTCTGGCACGTATCATACATCTTCCTAGGTAGCAAGGGCCAGTTAGGCACGAGAAGTAGTTCTGTGTTCCAGTTCACTTTGTAACGTGTTCGTTCTATTAATACCGGTATGACGACAAAATGAGATATCACAGAAGTTTAAGATAATAAATATTCGGTGTTTAGTTGTATTTGTTTTTAGCTATGCTTGTTGGGTGACAGCATGCACTTTTTCTCGTCTCCCCACTCTCCTGGTCTGCAGAGGGTTTCTCCCATGACTGGTGGTGCGGATTGTGTTGCTGGGCATGTTATTGGTGGTATCGGCAACAAACAGCAAAATGGCCCAGTCTTCCACAGGATTCGCAAACATGGTCACGTGAGCAGCAACAGTCCTTGGCCAGGTGCCCGATTTTGTTACAATTCCAACATCTGCCTTGGAATTCCATTAGGGAAATAGTTTGTTTCTCAGCAAGCTCCACTCGGTTGATTTGGTCTTCGGGCTGGATAAGGATCAGGGCATCCTTATCATGATACTGGCTCACTACCTCTAAGAACTTGGATAAGGTTAAATTCTCGGACCGATATATGTAATTTAGACTTAAAGTTTTTGTCCTTGATGTGTGTTAGCACTTGGTCCCTCGTCTTTCTCTTCTCTATACTCGCAATGTCCAGCTAAGCTGCTAAGTCTGGTTACAAAGTTATTTATTCGCTCCCCTGGTGCAGGCGTTGCTCCTAGAAAGTTTTGTCTCGCCTTTGGAATGTTTTTCTTCAATTTGAAATAATCGTTGAGCGACTCCATCGCTTTCTAGTGGTCTTTAACGTTGCCCTTCGTTTCCTCGGGAATGGCACGGAAGATTTCTCTTACGCCCGGTCCTGCTAGGTGTAAAAGGAGGGCTCGTTGCTGTTTCGGGTCGTCGATGCCTGATGCTGTCACGAAAAGTTCGAATTCGTCTTTGGCTGGCCAGCTGTGTCAAATGCCGCAGGACCAGTTAGTCTACTTAAACAGACGGCCATAGCTCAGAATTCCTGACAAGCTTGTCTTGTGTTCGACTTTTGTCCTCGTCGCCAAATGTAGTAGCTTCGCAAGAGAAGAAAACACACAATATTGTAGGAACACAACAATTCTATTGACAAGATGGCGGACTCTCTCTAGGACATGGTTTCCAATGTCATGTGAGGTAAACGTCACTGTCACTACACTACAGTGCGGAAGTTAAAAAGTTATAACAACACTATTATATTTAAAAATTATTTGTCGTGAGTGGATGGTTTTCATTATATGTTGAGGACGTCCAATTTTACTACGATATTGACAGAAGATCGTAAATAAGTTGATGCGCTCAAGGACAGTAGAAGTAGCTGTTTCCTTAGAAAGGGTCAAGAGCCGGACAATAAATTCCGTCCCGTAGAGCCTTTATTCCCAAGCAAAGTGCCGTACATGTGCATTATCGAGACAAAAGCCCGTTACAAAAGACAGTAAAGATTCAGATAGTGTTTTACCAAAAGCTTTCATTGGTAACATTATAAACGTCTATATCTTTTCGAAGCTTTTGACACGTTAACTTGGAGATAGGAAGAGAGGGATTGGTGCTTGGCCAGTTAAAACTCCTTAAGACAGCTGAAAAGTTTACGTTATCTGAGCACCTTATACACATTTGTGTCCAGACATACACGTCGGCTTTCCTCGAGTCCATCTTGCTATCTTGTTATAACATATGCATATTGCTACAGCAATTAGGAGTCTGAAGCTGTTTGGGAAAGCTATTTTGTTCTATTTTAAATCAGCGACTGCTTGAACATGTCAATTCTCTTAATTTTTTACACAATTCCCAGATTGGTTTTCAACCCAAAAATCGAACAGCAGACCATGTTCTTACATTGAGAACTCTAGCAGATAAATACGTGCATCACCACAACGAAAAAATCTATGCTTGTTTTGTCGACTTCAAAAAAGCTTTCGACTCAGTTTGGCATGACGGACTTTCATTTGTTATATTACAAATTAATGTCGGTGGCTGTTTTTTCAATTTAATAAAGAGCTTGTATTCAAAATCTACACGTTCCATAAAAAATTGGCCAAAATCAAACACGGCCCTTTCCATACGTAAGAGGGGTACGCCAAGGTTGTATTTTGAGACCATTCTCTTATGAAAAAGTTCTAATCTGATCCCTTTATCCTACCAAACGGCGCAAAATTAAATTTACTTTTATATGCAGACGATTTAGTCACATTTTCAAGATCAAAAATAGTACATAGATGTAAAGTATCAATCCAAAAAGACCAACAAACTACCTCCATTCCTAGCGAATAAAATTTTCGACGCAATGATCTCCTCAATTTTGACATATAAAAGTGAAGTGTGGGGTCCATATGCAAAATCTAATCTCAAGTCTTGGGGCAGTTCCCAGATCGAAAAAACACATCTCCAATTCTGTAAACGTTATTTAGAAGAAAGCAATAAAGCATCCAATGTAGCATGTAGAGTTTAACTTGGTAGGTTTCCTCTCATTATAGCTATCAATCAGAAAATCATGAATTACTCCGCATATCTTCCAAGTAAGGATAATTGCTCTATTGTTAAACAAATCTTTCTCATGTCGCAAGATCTTCATCATGCTGTTAAAAATAGTTATTATTCTAATATTATAAGTATGTCTGAATCTTATAATCTCCCTTGTTTTGATCTTACGTACTTAACTAACGCTAAAATCAAACATTATGTTGGCGTAATGCAGCAAAAGTATATTTTATATTGGCAACATACCATGCAAAACTCTACTAAACTAAAATTTCTCAACACTTTTAAGAACGATTATACACCCTCCTCTTATTTAGGCCTAACAAGCAAACTTAGCGAAAGAAAAGAACTAGTAAAATTTAGGATAGGCAATCACAAACTAAGGATTGAGACTGGTAGATATGATCACATTCCAAGGGTTAACAGACTCTGCCCTATTTGTGCATCTAATCAAATTGAAGGCGAATCTCACTTTTTTATATATTGCAATAAATTCTCTATTCTAGGAAATAAATTTTATAAAAAAAGAGAACATATCATTCCGACTTATAAACAATTACCTTCATTACAAGTCATTGGGGACCTTGTGACTTCTTCAAATCATTATATTAAGAGAGAATGTCCCCGAAGACCGCGGGAAAACACAAAAATGTGGCACATGCTTGAAAAATTAATTTCCCTCATCTTTCGCTCAGAGATACCCCTTGATGAGTTAATAAAAGTGATATATTTGTTTTGTTCAGATCTACTTTTGTTTTCCAAAAAATTGCAAAAATTGTACATGATGCCAACCGCTACAAAATGGTTAACATTATTGCGCCGAGTATCAACACAAGAACTTCGCTCATGAAAAGTGCAAAAGCAAGTTCGCTTTTCTTCTTTTTGCATATTTGTGTGGGAGGTATTAGCAAATTATTTGAACCGAAAACCAGGATTTTTCGTCTAATTTTTAATTCACGGCGCGTATTTCAAAATCACCAATATTTAATGGTTTCAAAATCTAATTTTGGAGCATTTTTTCAAGACACGTTTTTCCTGCGCGGTATAACTCCGATTCACTTGAGATTAAAGTTGTGATTAGTGGAAATGTTCTTCTTTTCAACGATATAAAGATTAGTTTGGGGATTTTAATTACTGCACGGAAAATGAACGCTCTATTTCGGGAAAATCACCACCTCGCGGTTTCAACAACTGCAAATAATCGAATTAGAGTCTCTGCTGTCGAACCCAAACTTCCAAGCAAATCTTAGTTCTTAGCATCCTATTAAATAAAATTCAATATTATCAGCTCACCTCGTAAATCCAGTGGCTGTAGATGGGGTTTTATCCCTATTTTCTCACCCAAACTGTTATCATCGAATCGACCATGTTTTACCAAATGATTCAATAAACAAACATACCGTAGCTCTTGCACGGGATTTGGTAATTTCGCTCGTTTCGGCCACTAAAATGGTTAGAAGTTACTTGCTTACAAGCTCACTTGTACGTTATAGAAGGATAGAAGCTAAGAAATGCTTGATACTGTCCAGAATTGCGATGTTTCTACAAAAGCCATCCAGGTACTGTTCAGATCGGTTACTCGTTCGGTAAACACTGTTGAACGGAAGATTTAGAAGACGATTATTTTGAACAGAAAATAGGGATAAAACCTCATCTACAACCACTGGATTTACAAGGTGAGCTTATAACATTGATTTTTATTTAATAGGATGCTAAGAACTAAGATTTGCCTGGAATTTTGCGTTCGACAGCAGAGACTCTAATTCGATCATTTGCAGTTGTTGACACCTCGAGGTGGCGATTTTCCCGAAATAGAGCGTGCATTTTCCGTGCAGTAATGAAAAGCCCCAAACTAATCTTTATATCCTTGAAAAGAAGAACATTTCCACTAATCACAACTTTAATCTGAAGTGATTCGGAGTTATACCGCATAGGAAAAACGTGTCTTGAAAAAATGCTCCAAAATTAGACTTTGAAACCATCAAATATTGGTGATTTTTAAACACGCGCCGTGAATTAAAAATAATTAGACGAAAAACCTGGTTTGCGGCTTAAATAATTTGCCAATACCTCCCACACAAATAAACAAAAAGAAAAAAAGCGAACTTGGTTTTGCACTTTTCATGAGCGAAGTTCTTGTGTTGATATTCGGCGCACTAATGTCCGCCATTGTTGAAGTGTTTATCATCTTGTACAGTTTTTTCGAATTTTCTGGAAAACAAAAGTAGATCTAAGCGAAATAATTATACCACGTTTATTAACTCATCAAGGGGTATCTTTGAACGAAATATGAGGGTAGTCATTTTCTGGACCATGTGCCACCTCTCACTCGGTCACGAAAAAAAGGCGCTCTTAATATTCAATCATCAAAATTTATTTTATCTTGCTTTGATTTACGCAATATTCGTCTTTTGAATCAAACAAATGTAACTTGCTTGCTGTATCATAACATTAAATGATCGCGATAATCGTTACTGTTTTAGTTTTGGTTTACAAAAGCTTTTGCAACGCTATGTATTTATGTTCATGCAAATAAAGGTAGTTGTTGTTATAAAGCTAGCTGTTGTATGACAATGACTGTTCGTTTCCTTCCAATTGACTGTCTGACAGTCATATTTCGGCGTTAAGTTGACCTGTTTATCCCAGATACGCATATGCAGAAAGTAAAACCATGTCCAGAATGACGTATGTGTTCACGTGATTGATTCCTGCGCTGCCACCTCTGACTCTCGTTGGTACTGCGCTGCCACCTCTGACTGTCGTTGGTACTGAAAGGAACGAAGTATAAGCTATGGTCAATATCTATGATCAAGTACTGTTTGGAAATATAAGTAGCTGCCGAGGTCTCTTGTACATAGTCTATCTCCACAAAGGTTTAGAAATGGGTGTTGCTCTATTCTGTTCCGATCCGGAAACCGGACAAATTAAAATGCTTGAGAAGTAAATTAACTTATCATGTTGAAAAAGGGATAGGCGATGCTCATACTTTTCTAATTTTGCAACAGTGTCCAATTAGATTGTGACAGCTCAATTTGGTCATCATCAGACCCTCTGTTGATATGTTTAATTAGGCCTTTAGGTGCTCATGCCATACATCCGCATTTTCTCCTTACCTTTAGTTGAAGAAGGAACACGACATTTGCTCCTTGGCTGAAACTCCTTTAATTTTCCCGGCGTACGTTGCAAGATGAGGTCAAATGCTTGGGAGGGTTCACTGGCTTGTCTTTCTGCGATAAAACCAAGAACAAGGACGCTGTTAAATCTTTCAATCTTCTGATATTAAGAGTTAAAGCTTCTGAAAAGCTTTTCATAAACGTTACCTCAACATGTCATGATCAGTCACAAGAACTCAGTGATCACTAATACATGTGAAAGGAAAAACTGTTTTGATTTACCATCAAAATTTCCCAATTAGAATTAGGACAATCATATGGAGAAAAGAAGGGAAAATTTGTGTGTAAACGTAAGTTGGTCTACCAGTAGTATTTCCATTAAATATCATAAAAGTAAGTACGCAGGAAAATTTGACCAATCGCACGACTTTCGGCACAGATGAATAACTGATTTCAGTTAATTCGAGACCGTTTGAAGACGTAAACAAGAAAATAATATCAATAATAATAAAATAGTGCTGTCTCTACAAAGAGTGATCACATATTCTTGTAATTTATCATGAAGGACAACTACAACCTCTCTCTGACATTGCGAAAACGCCTAATGCAGTGAATATACTGTACTTACCATTTCCCATAATTCCAAATTTGACTATCACACAGCCTGCAACGCCACTGTCCTGTGTTCGAATGTAAAACAACCGCCAGTCTGGGATATTAAGAGCAGCAGAAACTGTTTTTGCAAAATTCATTCTGCAAAAGTAACAGGAGGTAACAGTTAGTTAACAGTACTTGGTAGTTTTTTGAACGAACAAAGAAAATTTATTTTCCATTTATAACTACCTCATTAAAGGGTCCTCAAATGACTATATCGGGAAAGTTTGTTTGGTTCGTTTTGTTGATATATGGAACGAGACCCCTATTCCTCGATACGAACCGAACAAGCCAGGTTCAATAAATAGTTTATTGTAGTGGCTCTTTAACACTTGCTGAAGAATTAATGCATCCACTCTCGGTTAGTGGTAAAGGGTAAACATTCCTGCATATTTCAGATTCGCCTTTTCGCCGTGGACCATTTTGCCATACAATATTGAAACTGCTATTATAGACCCTCGCAGTCTTGTCGAGCAAGCAAACGATTGATTGACAGACTGACTTACCGATTGATCGGTTGATTGACTGATTGGTTGATTGATTGATTGACTGATTGACTGATTGATCGATTGATTGATTGATTGATTGATTGATTGATAAATGTATTAGTTGCGAGCTTGCTTGCTTCCTTGCTTGCTTGCTCGCTTGATTGGCTGTTTAATTCTTGTTCAACTGCCAAATGTTATCATTGAACCTTTTGCTGGCTTCAGCTTACTTGGAAAATGTAGCTGCTTCAACATGTTGCAGTGTTTTCTCTACATATAAAGAATCAACTGGTTTAATGGTAGCACAGGCAAGACGAGACCCACCGCCGTTCTCTGAATGCACTACAACTCCTCGGCCAACAACTGAAAGAAATGTTAAATCCAAAAGATTACTCTCAGTCATCATGAACATGAATTAACAGGTAAATAATCGCGGTGTATTACTACCATTTCAAAGTTAAGAATCACAACTTCAGAAAAACTTAGACAACTCATGCTGTCCTATGAAGAGCATTTTTATTTCTTTGAAGCAATCACACTTCATTTCGTTAGTCAAGACCTGGAAAGGGTCCAATCATGTGAACCCAATCGGTCGTCAGGGAACAGATGTGTGTTTTGCCCTTATGGAAGGTCTAATGCCCGTAACGTCTTTAAATGAAAATGGTATTAACTTTTCCCATCAAACAAGAGTAAAAGATTGAAACCGAGCAATCCGGTTTTGTGATTCTATCATTTTTGCTATCTTGTCCTAATTCTGCTTTCTGATCGGTTACATGGGATATCTGGCCGTTACAAATTCCAGGCTGATCAATCAAGTTGACACATTTTAAAAAAAAGTTCTTTAAAAAGTTATAAAAATCCTTATATTGTTTCTTACCTGACATTTCTCCATATAAGGGAAGATCGGGATCGGTGTAGAACTCCTTTCCTGATCCAACGTTTAACATCGCATGCTTGCCAGATAAATCACCTACTTCGCACCTTAACATATTACTGGAAATGCAGGTGGTCTTGTAATTTCCCTGGATGAAAAAGAGGAGGAAATAAGTAAATAAAACCACTCAGTGATCTTTGTTCCAGCACAAATACAAGTGCCGTATATTCTCGACCTAATTCCGTTAAAGTTTCTTTTGAACGTTGCAACAGTCAAAGGATAACAACTGTATCCTCCGTAGGAAAATCGACGACGACTGGAACATTAGCCCTTACAAAGCTGATAAAAACGAACAGAAAAGTTCGAAAATATCTCAAATCTATAAACAAGGTCATAAGTACAGGGTCAAATATTTCCTAAGTATGGCTTTCCTTGTGCCTAATAGGCTGTGTTAGGTTCGTAAAGTACCGCCATCGTTCTTCCTACGGAGGATTAGGGGCAGCTCCATGCTCAAATTTTGCTTCTTTCACATAGATTGACGCCCTAGCGCCATGATACTTACGGCTAAATCGACGAGATAAGGGTTGTATTGTCCTCCTAGACTCTTACATCTCGGACCCATCTCAGCGTAAGTGTCATTTCCTTCAGGGTTGACATGTACGTGCCACTTGTGATCCATACTCTGATTACGACGCAAGTAAAACAATTAGGGAGATTCTGCCTTTCAATTGAAAATTGCTCTAAATGTATTATTAATGGCACCAACTGAATGTTTGAAATAGCGGTACAGGATGTAGCGGTAACGTCTTTTGAAGGGGAAAATAGGTAATCATAGACACTGAATCAAATCCATGGAAGAGTTGTTTGCATCGGATGTTACCTTTTTGCTGGAGTTGGAAGCGTAATAGAGATCAACGTAAATAGAAGTTTCCTCTGACGTCATCATCATATCGCTGGACTTATACTGAACCTGAGGGTTAAAACAGAGTTGATTATAGTATAAGTCAACTGGGAGGTCTGACTTGATTTGACTGAGCTGAAAAACGCCGCAGTTGTCCTTATTAGGGAATAGAGATTGAAAATAGTTTCCCTGGGGCAAAGTGAACGGTTATGAAGAGGTGTCCGTCCGTAAGGAGAGGTTCGGCTGTACTGTACTGTTCCAAGAGTATATAACCCTCTAAAGTTGGCCCTGTTATCATTATGACAAAATAACGCAGTTGTCTGTATCAGAGGGAAGAGAAATTTCAACGCAATATGGGCTCTCTGGAGCAAAGTGACCAGTCCAAGGTCTCTATGGAGAGGTTCGGCTGTATATTGTTAAATAACTTACCAAGAGTACATAACCCATTAGAGCTGGTCCTGTGAACTTTATCATGGTTTTCATAACAAACATATTGTCTCCGTCCGCCGCCTGGAAAACATCCGCACACACCCATTTCGCACTTCCTACCACCTTCATCTTGTGGATGACAATGGATCGACCCTGGATGCTGTTTTTGCCAAATAACGGCAGATTGTAGTCTACGTGTATCCCTCTGTAACTTGAGAGGTTTAGAAAGGTTCCATACTTTCCACTCAGGTCACCGACTTCGTATTCATCATTGGTTCCTAAGAAAAGAAGGTTTGCTAAATTAGCTGAATCAACCGATTAATTGACACTTGACTAATTGGATACTTATATAATTTGTTAAAGTTTTCTTCAGAGGAAAATCAGCTCACGTTAGGTTTGGGTCAGATAAAAGAACGAAGTGCGAAAAGAGTATATGTACAAATCATTCAACCATCCAATGGAAAGTGACACTCTATTATGTGATTACAACTTACGGCTAAAACAGTCCTTAGTTCTCATCTCGGTTGTAAAAAGAAATAACAACAAACTGGGCCCTCAAACACAGCTGGATCTACAGATAACCTTTCAATTCACTTAGATATTTTCTAGGCGAACACAATGATGTAATAAAGGCTACAGATTGTACAAACATGAAATTCTTCCACAACTTACCGGTTCCTGGGGCAGGACTGGATTCAACGTCCACACCAAAAGGATTCCAGTTCCTTCCTAGATTGCCTCCAGCACAAGATTCCATTCCTGTGTAATGCATCTGCCACGGCATGGGATAGTTGTGGATATGGTATCCTTGGGATTCCTTCTTTAACCCAGTCACATCTATTACTGTTATGGAGGGATCAAACGGAGACGCCTGGGTAATCTTGAAACCTCCACTTACGCCATCATGGACATCTGGCTTGAATGAAGCTTT